GATCTGTTGCCCACTTTTAATTGGGCTGTATGTTTTCTTATTGTGGACTTTTAAGAGTTCTTTATATAGTTTGAATACAAGTTCTTTATCAGGTATGTGTTTTGCAAATATTTTTGTAAGGATGGAACTTAAGAAATCAATACCTTGGTCAGCCTATAGCTTGATTCACCTCATAGTTCGCTCTTCAGCTGTTTTCTCTCCCTCACTGCAGATTTAATTGCTCTGCTTTCCCCAGGCTACACGCATTCATCATTAATCCAGCTCATCCGCAGAACACCAACTTGTAACAAACTGAGCAAGCCCTCCTGACACTGGCGACCAGGCTGCAATTCTGGACTGAGATTCTGTCAGGTGACAAGACCGGGTTCCAGACAACCCGACCCCAGGAGATGTTCCCAGGACGAGCCAGCGGCATGACTAACTCTCTGCTTCCTTTGTTCTGCTGCTTCTTCTGTTCCTATGAAACCTTCTGACCGTCCCAGGAACGGGGAGGTGCCGCCATCCTCCCGGAATGCCAGCATTCTGAATAAACCTGCTTTCTTTCCACCTTATCTCTCGATTTTTGACTTTTTCAAGTGGCACGCAGCCAGTGAAGTAACAGCAGTACTGCATACTCATTGTTAGCAGGCAGAACATAACCGTTGGGGCTGAGTCAGAAGCCCTCATGCTGCAGGTTCCTCTCTCCTGTTTGTTTTGGTCCAGCTCTCACGTGGAGATTCTTCCCTCAAATGTCTGCTGACCCTGGTCCTTCCCCCACACGCCACAGTGAGTCATCCAAGGCCGACCGGAAGCTCTGAGTGCCACTCCTTAGGGACACAGGACCCTGCCTGTTCTGTTGGAGGCCCCCAGCTGTCATCTGGGTTTCAGGAACATGTCTCTGACGCTGGTCAGTTTCCTCTGAGAGGAAGTTTCCAGGCCCTGCTTGAGGACCCAGTGGAGGGAAGGGCTGGTGGGTCTGAGCATCCTATGTGCAGACTTCCATTTCATTCCCCTCATTGGTCTCAGTCTCCAGTCTGCCCTGCTGCCCCTCGCCACCCCACTCTCTGCTGGGCACGCTGTCCCCAAGCCCACAGGCACCCTGGGTTTTATGGGGATAAGAGGAGGGTCCGGGGCTCCAGCGGCTCGCCCACACTTACTGTTGCCATGTTCACGTCACCTCCCAGCTCCTGCTGGCCCAGCATCTCTCCAGGGTGCCCTGTCGCCTGTCCCCTTGCTTCCTGTGGGTCCCCACCTGCAGGCGGAGGGTTCCCCTTTTGCACTCTGTTTCTTCTTCACACATTTGTTGACAGCTCCCCTCTCTCATTTTGGTTCCCGCTTTCATTCACTTCGTCCTAATTGATTTAGACCATTTTATGCCTTTAACTGCTATTTCAGAGGACTTGAGGAGAGACTGGAGCTACATCGCTGTGTGCAATCTGCCATACGCAACAGGCACACATGCTTTTTTCCTTAACAATACATTGAGGAGATATTTACTTCTTTGTACTGAGCTGTAGAATTCCAGGCTCCAAAGGCTACACTTAAGCCTGTCTTAGGTTTATGTTATTTCTAGAAATGCTGCAGCGAATACAATGCATTATTGTACATCAATAACTATGTGTAGAAATAAATAAAGGGGGGAAGAGGAGAGGGAGAAAGAGAAGGAAGGAAGGAAGGCTCTGCATGGACTGTCAGGAGTCTGGAGAAGGCCTGCGGGGAGGAGGCCTGGGGGGCGCGTGGGCTGTATTCACAGCCCGGGCCTCACCACCGGGCCTCCCTCGGGGATTCTGCACCGTGCCAGCTGCCTCAGGCTCAAACCTGCTGCTGGGGAGAGAAGCAGCTTCCACTGGGATGCAGCCACCGGGATCAGGAGACAAGCTGACATTTGGACGGGCAAAGCCACCACCTGCAGGGCCAGGTAGGACTCAAGGTGCCCTTTGTCTCCAGGGCAGAGGGGTGGGGGGGGTGGACTCCCGGATGTGTTTCAGCGTGACTGAAGGCCACATCAGCCGCAGCCACAGCTCCACCCCTGCCCAGGACTCTGTCCCTTCCGAAGACGTCCAGGCTTCATAGATTTTACTACTGAATTTGTTATTATTAAATTTATTCCTAGGTCTTGTATAGCTTTTGACACTTGTATGGAAAAGATACTTATTTGCCCTATTTCTATTTCCTATGGGTTGTTGCTAATATAGAGAAAAGCTATTAATTTTTGTGTATGTACCTTAAATCCAGCCATCTCACCAAACTCTGTTATTATCTGTGGTTTATTTTTCTAGAGTCTAGCAGGTGAGTCTGGAACCAGCCCCCGCCAGTGAGTCACTCCTCCTCCGCCAAAGCCCATCGAGTTTGGGGCCACTCGTGGTCCCCCCACCTCACACAAGGGAAAACAGAGTCACGCTCGTCCCCCACAGGTTTAGAAATACTTCCTGCTTCCCTCTGCCTCCCTCCCATTTGGCAACACTAACAGCCCCGTTTACACCTTGTGATTGTTCCAGAAAACCAAGAATTGTTCAAGGCCTTGGGTCAGGCTTGCCCAATCATGCGACTTGGCACCCCAGCACCCCCTCCGTTCCTTCCGCCCCCTCCCATTTCAACAGCCCAGGCTGCAGTGAGACGGGCAGCCTGATAAAAAGGAGGGCAGGGCCTGCAGAGCCGGCCACACGGCTGGGGTCTGTCACCAAGCCAACACCATGGCGTCGTGCGTGGCCTGGACAGGTGAGGGGACACTGTCAGGGGGGCTGGGCTGGGCCCCAGAAGCTGTGGGGCGGTGGCGGGGTTATGTTAGGTGGCTCCTTGGTGCTGTCTGCGAGGAAGCAGGAGCGCTAGGACACTGGGGGAGCACCTTCCCGCCTCACCCTCTGCCTCCTGGCCGGCAGTCCCTTGACGGCTGTCCCTGAGGGTTCACCGTGGGCTCTTTCAGCCCAAGAGACTTTGTGTCACAAGGAAAGGTTTTTCTCAACAGGCTGAAAATGGCTTTTCCTTCTGTCCTGCAAGCGCAGACTCAGTGGGCGTCCCTGCCCTGGGTGCTTTGCCCCCTGTGTCCCTCGGCCCTCCTCTTGGCTTTCTCCGGGAGGTGCCCC